GGGGGGTGAGTGAACTTCCAATCCCCAGAACCTTCCTGGGATTTATAGACAGGAGGGTGGGTTACTTGAGTAGGGATTTGAGGGATGAACAGAAGTTCACCAAAGAAGGCAATACAGGCTGTGAGAACAGCATGGGCAAAAAATGTGACAGTGTGCAAGAGTCTCAGGGACTTTGCAAGGCTGTGCACCTGCTGCAAGTCACATCCAAGCAATTCATTCATCCAAATTGTCCATCCAGGCTTGGGTAAGTAAGTGCTGCTCAATCCTGGGCCATGGTATTCTCCTCATTAACACTGTGACCTGCCCACCATGACCAAGCATTTCAGTCATCCAGTGGGCAGCTGGCTGGCAGGGAGGCAGATGTGGATCCTTCTGTCTGCTGTCCCTACTTATCTTCCAAGTGTGCTTGGTGAGTTCTCACTCATTCTCAGCACCCAGCTCCAAGAGCCCCCTCTTCCAGGAAGTCCTTCCCAAATCCTCCAGGGGTCTCTGTCTTTTAGACATCTTCAATCCTAATCCTTTAGGGTGAGTGAGTCTGGCCAACTCTATTCCCCTTGAAATGGATTCTCAGAATGGCCTTGCCTGGAGCTGGTTGTCTTCATAGCGCCAAGGGGACTGGGTTGGTATTTAGAGACAGGGTCTGTCTATGTAGCTTAGGCTAGCTCACACCAAAGATCCTCTCAGATGTGTGCCAGCACTCTGCTCTCTGGTGCCTTGAAAGAAGTCTATTATTATATATTACTGTGTGTGTGTGCCTGTATGTGTGTGTACATGCATATATGCGTAAAACTGTGGGAGTCAGTCAGTTCTCACCTCCTGAATAGGTCCTGAGGGTGGAGCTGAAGCCCTCAGCCTTGGCAGCAACCACCTTTACCCTCTGAGCCACCTCCCCTTTTTTTCTTTTCTCTCTTCTACTGATTTTCCTCTTCTTTTTCTCTTTCCCTTCCTCTCCCACCCTTCTCTTCCTCCTCCTCCTCCCATGGTCAGGTTCCTGGGCTGAGTTCTCCAGAGTATAAGCTGTGCTCAGGCACTTGGCAAACAGGCCCGGCTTCCTCCGCACGCTCTCTCCACCCTCTCCAGGTCTGTCTCCTTGGCTGCCCCCACTGGAGGTCCTGGATGGAGAGCTGAGAGGGGCTGAGTCAACCTGGAGGGAGGTGGGGGGTCCCAGGAGCTTCTCACCCTCCTGCTCCTCCCTGTAGGCCTGCCCACCTGCCACTGCCACTGTTGCCCAGGCTGGACCCCCTCCCCCCCCATGTGCTCTTTCCTCAGTGAGGCAGAACTGGCCCAGAGTGCAGTGCATTGCTCTTAGGTGAACCGTCACTGACGGCTTGGTGTGTTCACAAGGTTGCGCAACAACTCACTCTCTCTAGTTTCGAAGGTTTTCATCATTCCCTCAAGCAGCTTGCACCGGAGGCGGTCCTGCCTCTGGTTCCTCCCTGCTGAATCTCCTGGCTCCCAGAACCTGGTTTCTGTCTAGATGGACTTGCTGCTTCCAGACCTTTTTTGTGTCTGGTTTCTCTCAGTCGGCCTCTTGTCTTCCCGGTCCATCCACACTACTGTACAGATTGGCCCTGTGCTCTTTTTATGATTCATTGTGTAGATGGGTCCAACTTTGCTTATTCACCTACTTGCTGGCTGTTGTGAACAATGCTACAGTGAACATTCACGCATGGGTTGTACTCTCACAGACCCCCACCCCCCGCCTTTTGTCCCTTCATTCCTTCCTTTTTTTTTAAAAAATAAGATTTATTTTTATGTGTATGTGTGTGTGTGTGTGTGTGTGTGTGTGTGTGTGTGTGTGTGTAGGTCAGAGGACAACGTGTGGGAATCAATTCTCCGTCTACCATGGAGGTCCCAGGGACAAAACCCAGGCTGCTTGGCCTGGGCAGCCGGTGCCTTTAAGCCACGGACGGAGCCATCTTGCTGGCCCCTCCACCCTTCTCTCCCTGATACTGGGCATGGAACTCAGGGCCTTGAGCACAGTAGGTCAACACTCTGCTACTGAGTCCTGTCTCCTAGTCCTGTGTTTGACTTCTTAAAAAGGTTCTATTATTTT